CACCCCAACAAAACCAAGAAACGGCTTCCCAGTGCTGTTCGTGGGGTTCCACCCTTCATAAACTACAATGAAGTGTACATTGTATCAATCATATTTAAATGCTTGCTTAATTCAATCAAACTACTTTCATCTGTATTTACCAACATAAATTCAGTTCTCTTGTAGCTGTAAGAAATATTTTTCTGGACATTTGTAAAGTTCGTTGATTATGCTTCTCTCAGAAGCGTTTTTCATTCTATTTTGGGACGTGAGTGATTGAAGCTGGAGAAGCAGGGCACATGCCAGATTACTGAAATCCTGATCTAAGAATTTGGCATGTGCCCCGACTCTCCAGCTACGGCCCTCTCCCATGGAAATACTGGCACCATCTAAGAGACAGAAGGCATTTCTAGAGGCAAAAGAGTACTACAAGCAAGCAACTCAGAAATTAGTACGCATGCTAATCATTCACAATTCAATAAGTATTCTATAAATGAGAGTACATCTGCATTTGTATGCTTTCGTTGTATGTATTTACAGGTTGGTGTCTTGGTAAATTTATCCAATAGAATTGTTAGCTTTCGCTATGAATCATAGGTCGAGAACTACCTTCATTAATTTATTATCAAATTTTCTCATAAGGGAGTAACTTCTAATTTATAGAAGGAAAGAGGAGGAAGTTAAGAAAAACCAACCAGTACCTATGGACTAATCTAATCCTGGAGTCGTGTGTGTTTTTCCTTGAACAAGAACATAACAATGTTAAAACGTCCATCCTTTTAAGGACTTCATTCTTCTTATATACACAAACTTTATTCATAGATACATTATCTATAAAGGTGATCAGCTACTTATCATCTGAAAAGTGGCAATAGCTTAAGCTGATCATAAAATAAAAAGTAAGCAAATGAATAAATTACTTATAATTTAGATTTCTTGAGCAAAAGAAGGATATACCAGTCCATTCTTGCCGAATCACTTCATCAGACCGGCTTTCTATTTTCCAATGCTCGCGCTGCAGAATCCACATGAGCAAGCAAACAAGCATAAACCTTTTGCTTCAAGCTATCAACAATCTCGAGCATCTCATTTTTCTCTGAGCTCAACTTGCTCCTGAGTTTATCTAACCAGTCATTTGCCTGCTTCAGCTGTGACAATGCGGTAGCGATGTGGTTGTTTGGTTCCATAAAACGTCCAAAACTCTCCTTCCCTTTCTTTTCCTGATAATCCAGCTGGAAGCCATTATCAAGTGCTCCATCCAAGAATTTGAGAAACCAGGATTGTGATTCATGTAGAAGAATTTCCCTGAGTTCCTTAATTTCTGTGGAACCACCTCCCTTTGACCATTCTAATTTATCAGCCCTGCTAAGCTCCATTGAGGGCTTTGGAGTTATTGTCATACTGCTCCCGTGTAAGGAACCTGATTTTCTGTTGGATTTGTCTTTATCTTCCAACGATAAGTTTACTGAGAAATTATCAGACACATCCTTTGTTAGAATTGTAACGTCTGCTTTTTCTATAAGTCGGTAGAGTGTAAAGAACTTAGTAAGGTAGATATGAGGGTTTTCTGGCGAGGCAGATGAACAAAGATCGGCAAACGTGCTGAAAAACCAGAGAAGAAAGGAAGATAAGATGAAAATTTATCGCTCAAATCCAGCTCTTTTAACGTGTATCAAAAGTTATGAATATGTTGCTTAAACACGTATGACTAACAGATGACATATTTAAATCAATCTCTAAACTTACCTTAGGCACTTGACAAGATTTGCTGATGCAATTGCTTCTTTTTGAACTTCCGCCAATACCAAAGCAGCTAAGTTTCTCCTTTTAATCATTCCCTTGTAATGTTAATGGCCAATGATGAATATAAATAATAGTTATATTATATGCAAGATGGTAAAAAGTTAACATAATGTCATAACGAGATCACGTTAAGTCTAATAAACCAATGTTTTTCCCCTTCAGATGTCAGAACATACTATCAGGTATCAACAATTGAATGTTCTTGGGAAACATAAGAATGACAATGCCGTTGCACCATTGTATTAGTGCTAAAATTGAGGACAGGTAATTCAATGAGTTGATATTTAAATTATTAGAGTACAGGATATTTTCAGAGATGCTTAAGGCAAGAAATGTACCTTTCCAGGTTTAAGAAGATTGGCTGGCAATTTGGACCAAGATGTTGCCTCAGGAGATTGCTTTCTGTTGCTATTATTTGACCAAAAATTCATGTCGATGCTTTCTTGTTTGGCTGTGCATTCCACTGCTTGCAATTTTGAAGATGTTCGGGCCACCATGGTTTTTAAAGCATCTATATCTGAATTATGTGTTGATGCATCAGGACGAGTACGGAAAGGACTTGATGGTCTTGCCTATAATGCAATATTAGAAGTTCTCAATTGGCTTGGATTTCTTAAGCAAAAGAATTCACATAATTGTTATTGCACCTATTTGCATGCTTTATCCACCTCTAGACATTGCAAATTCATTTTACTGTTTCAATCAGTTAGAATCTTGCAGTCCACAGGAAGAATCGGCTATGCAAATTTTGCACCCACCAATTTATTGTGCAACAAATAATGTAAATAACCTCTAAGATGCAATGCATACTAACAAGGTCAAATCACTTGGCAGAATTATTTAATTTGCATAATAACTTTACACATAGAAGACAAGGTTATTGAAAAATATCCAAGCCTTGTAGTTTAACTTTCGATATGACCTTAATAGAGTAGACAGGATGTAGATGATCTATCATTCTAGAAATTGATAACGAAAAACTGAAAACGAGTCAAATATTGGACCTTGATGAAGGATAAACTCCATTATCGAGATAGAATGCACGAAAGGAAAAGTCTTTACAAGGAAGAATTAAATATCTATAACTCAACATCGTACCTGACCTTTAAGCTCGTGTTGCTTCCCTTTCAGAAGTCCAACCTTCTTGCCTGCTGCACCACCATTCTCATTCTCATTTCTTCTTGCACCATTGTTTTGATCTGCTTCTCTCACTTTAGTGTTTGGAGTTAACACACCCTG